GTTTATCAACCTTATTCTTTAAGAATAAAGTACAATTACATTTTTATTCATTTACATTATTTACATTGACTGTTGTCCTCATCTTTGTTGCCATATTCACGACGTTTCGATCGTCGTACGCACCGGCCTTCTTCGGGTGATTGGAATTTCGAAATGAACCCTTTATTTCGTCCACCGGAGTAGATTGGTCGAGTTTCACGTGTTATGTTTCTTCCTGGTGTCTCAGTTATCTCATTGAAGGAAGCCGGAGTGTACAACGGCCGAAACGTCGTGAGTATAGCAATAAAATTGATAACAACAGTCCGAACAATGTAAATAATGTAAATAATTACAATAACTTATCTCAGAAATATAGACATATTTTATTCAATTATATATTCACCATCTATGCCATTGGGCCCAGACTAGACTTTCAGTTGCAACTGCTGGGGCCGTTTATGCCTGTCCCGCACGGGCCACATCAGGTACAAACGTCCCTGCAATCGACGTGAACAAACTTCCTCTTCATCTTCGTTTTGCAAAGCCAAGCCATGATGATGATGATATTCACCATTGCAATGACATTTTTTTTTAATTTAATGATTTCAACCCAAGCAAGGCTATAATGCCACCATGACACAGAGCGTTACACGGATTGAAAGAGAATGAGAAGAGTTTAGTGAGGAGAAATGAAGAAAAGGCAATAATGAAATAGGGCTCAGGAGGACAGAAGATAGCGATTGACGTTGAATTTAAATTTTTGAAAATTGTGTGCGCCAAATAGGCAAGAAACAGGAAACGAAGTTCCACAGGTGAGAAGTGCGAGAAAAGAAACTGTTAGAATAGAAGCTAGTTCAACAGTAAAATGCTGAGACCTAGTTGACAATCTAGTAACACGATGAAATTCATGTAGTCGAGGCACTAATGAAAACGACTCATCAGAACAGTCACCATGAAAACAATCACGCTCTGCCTTTTCTAGTTGTAGAAAAGACAGAGGGAAACCACGTCACGTAGTGTAAAACTTACGGAAGTCGAGATGCCTGGTCAGAATCGATTACATTCCAGCCCCTTCTTTGAATTTTGTCAAGAATCTTGCGATGTACAGCAGGCGCACCAGCAGTATTCAATGCACCGACAAATGGTAGATTTATAAATTTGCAAGATGAATTCTGACAAGAAAAATCTTCTGGCACGGCACAGTGTACTAACAAAAAACGTAGCAACTGATTTAATATAGTCTCTCCACTTCTTGTCTATGTAAAACGCGTTATTATGTAATAATGCTTCAAATAATGGTAAAGCTTGAAATAGGCTGAAATTAACGAACAAAAAAACTCCATATGACAGCATATTAGTTTGAGCCATAAATAATTTCAGTTTTTAACTGTCAACTTTATTCTTCAGAAAATAAAGTACAATTACATGTTATTCTATTATACAGCCCCCCCAAACAACTTTAAAATGTGAATATCTGAGTAACTACATGTCCTAGGCAAACGAAATTAAATAGGTTTTATGTTGGATAATGAACTATTTATTTATTAAAATTCGAAGGAGATATTCAAAGGGATGTAAATTTTATAACCGTTTTCACAAAGCTTCACAAATGTTCAATGTGCGCAACACCTGTGACACGAAACACGCCAAGTCGGAAGTCCAGCTCCTGCCAAAAATGCTGTCTTGCGTAACATTCTCAAGCATCTCAGTAATTCTCTGATTAAGTTTCTCTAGGCTTGTAATAAGAGGGGGTATATAGTGATATTTTTTCACATGGCCCCATAGAAAAAAATGCGAAAGTGTCAAGTCAGGTGAATGTTGTAACCATTTCAACAGCACATTGTCATTATCACGTCCGATCCATCTTCTTGTTAGATTTTCATTGGGATTAGTCCGCACAGTTAATTTAGTTTTTACACATTTTATTAAATTTTGAGATCATTTGAGCAAGACTTGGATTTGTTATTAGACTACAAACTGATGTCAATTTTTTTTTTTTTTTTTTGGTCGGGGGGACACTCTGTATATTAGTAATGACTTGTTTCCACTTAGAATTCTACAGGTTTTGACGTGAAAAAGTTTTCTACAAACTCTTGGATCATGTTTCCATTAGAGAAAATTTTCTTCGTCAAAGTGTTTTGCGGTGATTGAAAAAGGTAATAATCGATTGGTGCAAAATCATATGAAATTGGAAGTGGGGGGTGAGGTAGAACAGAACAAACGTTATTCAGATTTTTTTTCCTGTGTTGTTCTTGCTTTATGCCGCGTTGTATCATGGAGGAGAACATTTTTCCTACTGACGGGCACGAAACGCTTTTCAAAGAATCATTATGGACAGGTTGAAGCTGCCGAACATGTAAATGTGCATTTTCCGTTCCTGAATGATTAATTCTTTATTTTTCTTTCGTTTCATTATTTTATTTATTTTCCTTTTTCATTTAATCTTTTTTTTTTATTTTCGTAACTTCTTCCTTTTCTATTTTTTTTTTTTATCTTAGCTTGATTTTCTTTGATTTATTACCTCGAATTTCTTCCTTGTACTTCCTTTATTTTCAGATCCTCCCTTCTGTCGTTATTTTTTCCTAGCTTGATTTATTTTCCTTCATCTTTTCCTTCATTGCGTCTTTTTTTTCTTTAATTCCTTCTAGTTGTATTTTTCGTTTATCGCCTTCACTCTATACTACGATCTTCTTTCTTCCTTCCTCTCACTCTTCTTTTTCTCTATACATACCATACAATTTTTTCCCTTCTTAACCTTCTCCTTTCTTTGTATTTACAACCCAGACATCGTCTCTACACACACAAAAAGAATTATTCTGACAATCGTAATGGCGGAACAAAATTCGCCACACAAAACACTGTAAATCCAAGAATCTTCTAATCAACCTTTTGTTTTTTTTAGAGTGGCGTTTAACCTGCACAAGGCACGGGGCTACTCGAGATAGAGCGTTAAGAGGCACAGCTTATGTGGATATGTGTGGAAGATAAAGGTTAACTAGACTTGAACAGGTTAAGACTGTCGTGATTGAGGAAGCTGCCTCTTGGAAGTCGATCCCATAATGCAGTGGTTCGTTGTAATCAGTTACTTGAGTGGAACTTACATATTATCGGGGGAATATGAAGAGAATGAGGCTGGTTCTCTACAATGTGAGTGGCATGGTGGGTCTTAGCGATGAAGTTTACGACAGGTGGAACTAAGGAATGTAGATCATCTGGACACTTTCTATGGAAATAGCGATAGAAAAACGATAGTTTGCGACGTTTCGTCTGTGAGGAAGGGGTTACAGAATGGAAAATAATTCGTCGCCTACAAGGATGCGAGGACTATCGAGAGTGGAAAGTGAAGACTGGGCAGCTCACGTCCAAATATGGCAGCAGTACTCCATTTTCTGCCTGATCTGGCCTTTGTAAACTTAGAGGATAGCGGGAGGAGTCAGGTATTTACTAGATCGGTACAAGGAGCGAACCATTTACCCACCATGTTTAGCGATGGATCGTATATACATGTTCCACTTGAAGTCTGTGTCGAGCTTAAGTCCCAGTAGGGACTCAAAGCACGGGACCACCCTAAAGGAAGATCGTTTATTCCGACTGGTTAAAGTTCTGGGTCCGATCGGCGATGGTGGAAGGTCACTAGTATTGAATGTGACCAGCCAGTTTCCCCCCAACTGAGCTGCTAGATTTAGGTCAAAGGAGAAATCAGCTCCTGAGCTCTGGTCACCGAGAGTTTTGGAGGTGTATCCATATACCGTTGTATCTTCAGTATAGATATTCGCAAAGGATCGGAGCACACTATTAGCAAGATAATTTATGTAGAGGAAGAAGAGGGATTGACCGAGATGCGAATCTTGAGGGACGCCTGCGTTGATTGAGTGGGACTTGGAAAATTGGCCATTAACAGCTGTCTTCATGAACCTACCCGTTATGAAGGACTTTATAAGTGAGAAGACGCTTCTAATGATTCCCGAGCTGAAGAGCTTGGGCAGCAAACATGTATGCCACACCTTGTCAAAGGACATTAAAATATCTAACTCGACCGTTATTAGGATGTATTCGACTGCCTCCTAAACCAAAACCACTTTTTACCTATTTTGAATAATCTATAATCTCAGACATTGTGTATTCTTGCTTGCTTTCAGTTTCTATATATCCTGCATTTCTTCCGTTAAGTTTTTTCCCGATCTCCCTTTCTTTCTCTCTCTCCCATCTTTCTTTAAATTTCAGTTACTTCTTTTTCATCTTTCTTTGCTTTTCTTTCTTTCTTTCTTTCTTTCTTTCTTTCTTTCTTTCTTTCTTTCTTTGTGTGTTCGTTCTTTAATTTTCGTTTACTGTTTTTTCCCTTAATTCTTTCTTCCATTCATTCTAATTTTCTTGCGTGTCTTCTTTTTTCTTTCTTTCTAATTTCCTTACCCGTCTTCTTTCTTTCTTTCTTTCTTTCTTTCTTTCTTTCTTTCTTTCTGTCTAATTTTCTTATGTCTTCCTTCTTTCCTACCTTCTTCTTTCCTAATTTCCAACCTGTCTTCTTTAATTTTCTTATGTGTCTTCTTTGTTTCCTTCTTTCTTCCTTTCTTTCTTTCTTACTTTCTTTCCTTTTTCTTTTTTCTTTCTTCATTCCAAAGTTTCTTACATTTTTACGTGTCTTCTTTGTTTCTCTCTAATTTTCTTATGTGTCTTTTTTCTCTCTTTCTGCCTTTCTTCTTTCCTAATTTCCTCACGCGTCTTCTTTCTTACTTTCTAATTTTCTTATATGCCTTCTTTCTTTCTTCCTAATTCTGTTACGTATCTTCGTTCTTTCCTTCTTTCTTCTTACCTAATTTCCTTATGCGTCTTCTTTTTTCTGTCTATTTTTCTTATGTCTTCTTTATTTTCTTCTTTCATAATGTTCTTATGTGTCTTCTTTTTTTCTTTCTTCTTTCCTAATTTCCTTAGATGCCTTCATTCTTTCTTTCTTCCTAATTTTGTTCGTATCTTCTTTCTTTCTTTCTTTCTTTCTTTCTTTCTTTCTAATTCCCTTATGTCTGGTTTCTTTCTTCTTTACAAATTTCCTTATGTGTCCTCTTTTATTTCTTACTTTCTCTTGCAGAGTCTTACCCATTTCATTATTTTACTAAATGATTTGACCTCTAATTTTCAGTCAATTTGTCTGCTATTTCCTAATAAGAAAACGAATACTTTCCATTTTTCACCCAAAAGCTTTGTGTTTGAAATTTTGAAAACAAGAAACCACTTCCCATTCATTCGGACTTGAATTCGCAGAAGTTATGGTGAGTAGTATAATTCAAGATGTTTTTTCTTCCCCTTCGATAGTAAACCTTGAGTGTATGCTTTCATGCTCTAACCATCTTTAATTCATACGAGTTCCCTCTTTGTCGAAGATGGATGGTAATCAATCACTTTAACGGACAAGAGCTATTCTCCATTCCTTCTCACTATCACTTGACACTGAGCTCTCATGCGGGTTCGTCCTGTGGGGTCTGCACTTTCACGAAGAGAAGAAAAAGAAGAGATTATAAATCAAAATGACGACAGCCCTTAACTCCTCGCCTATCCTTAAGTTGTCTAAAACGTAAATCATGTAAACGAGGCTCGCCCACCCGACTGTTTATTTACCTATCTACATCACATTGATAAAGACGACACGTAGTCCCACTCCCAGTCCCGTAGAAAAAAAAAAAGAACGCCGGAGACTTAAAGAGAAAGTGAGAAAGAAAAAGAGAATGATAATTATGAAACGCCTCGTGGTATTTATTTTCGTTTGAAGTATTGGTTCAATAGTCAAAGCTAGAGTTATGAGGAACGAGTTTTATCGGCTTTTGAGCAACTTAATGGCGTTTGTTAACATAAGGCCGCAAAAGAAAGATTCAAATTTTGATCATGGACAAAGAGTCCTCTTTTTCCCATCGGTCTACTATAGATGCTTTTCTGTTTACGATGAAGTTACCTCCGTAAAGCAAAAAGCTCATCACTCGAGAGGGTTTCTAATGTAATAGTTTTTTCTCTTGTTCTTTTCACCTCGAGCGAGAGATGTACTTGGGCGCTTCGCAAACAGAGTAAGCGTCTTTGAAAGAAACAGAAAGAACATTGAATGATAAAAAGTATGATTACATAGGTTCGTCTATCTTCCGGTTCCCACACCTCCCCAGTCTTTTGAACAGGAGTAGAGGTTTAACCCTTGTTCCATGTTTAGGATTAAGTTTCCGCTTCCTTCTAAAAGTCTACTTCCATACTATAATTTTAACGTCTCTGATTGAACACTGAAATGTTCTTGACTATTTTTCTTCTTCTCTCCCAATAGGATTAGATAGGTATGCCTATCGTCCAATTCACATTTCTCTCCGGTCTTTGAAACAGGAGTAAAGGTTTATCCCTTTTTTATTGTTTAGGATTAGATTTTCGCTTCCTTCTAAAGTCTACTTCCATACTATACTTCTAACGTCTCCGATTGAACCCTGATTTGTTCTTGACTATTTTTCGTCTTCTCTCCCAATAGAGAGGTTTGCCTATCGTCCAGTTCACATTTCCCTCCGGCCTTTGGAACAGGAGTAAAGGTTTATCCTTTGTTTTCTGTTTAGGATTAGATTTCCGGTTCCTTCTAAAGCCTACTCCCACACTATACTTCTAACGTCTTCGATTGCACACTGAAATGTTCTTGATTTTTTTATCCCAATAGGATTAGATAGGTTTGGCTATCGTCCAGTTCATATTTCTTTCTGGTCTTTAGAACAGGAGTAAAGGTTTATCCCTTGTTTCCTGTTTAGGCGTGGGTTACCGGTTCCTTCTAAAGCCTATGTTCCAGACTATATTTGTAACGTTTCTGATTGAACTCGAAAGTGTTATTCACTAATTAAATTTTTTATCTCTTCAAGTTTAGAGTTAAAAGTTAGGTCTAAGAACTTCATTTCTTGTCCTTTTTATGTTCATACAACACCTCACAGTAATACTCTACCTTGAGTGGTTCTTGAGCTTTGTATTGGGTGAAGTTGAACACGGATATATTAACGCTTCCTATCATTAGTAAAACTGGAGGTTGGATGAATTAGCATTGGTAAAATATATCGTGCAGCGTCGCTAAATCCATGCGGTATCGCTCATCTTTTTTTATTGTTTTTTATTTTTTATTATTTTTACTAATGTCCACCAATACAAGGCCCAAGAGCCACTCAAAGTAGAGGATTACTGTGTGGAGTTATATTAGCGTACGAAAGGACACGCGTTAGGATTATACAAATAAATAAATATTTTTTTTATAATTAATTTTTATAATATATGGCTACAGTAGCAGATTTTCGTAAAAGTTTTTTTTTTTTAATTCCAAGCAGTTATAATAATTAAGCAGATTATTTTACTTATTTAGATAATTCCATAAATTTTTCGGTTCCGTTCGACTAATTTAAACAAGTAACAAAAACAGTAACTTTGCTGAATTAATTTGCCACATATTTAAACAAAAACAGTAAATTTGCTGAATTCATTTGCCTTATATTTCCACATATAAGGCGACCTATAGATAAGAAGAGAACCAAAATCAAGGTATATTTTCGTGATTTTATCTGATATCTGTAGTATAAGACGACTGACTGGGACCTATATGTCGAAACTGTAAATGAAAATGTTTATGGCAACCTCTTTGCATCAGGTGCTCATGGGCATGGTAATTTTGAAGGGTTTTAATTATGTATGTAGGTGTCTTGTTTTTTCTTATTCTGTAATGAAAAATAAAGATTTTATGGCATCTTAAGTATTTTGTCGCTCAACACCGCAAAAAAAAAATACCGCATAATGTACGTTATTGAAAAGTAAATGTTGTTATTGTATACTAAATGTTATTTAACACCACAATGATAATGAATTTGAATTAGAAATATATAGGCTGTTCCAATAACTTCGAGTGATTTTAAATATGAATTAAGTTTAATCGTCTAATGATTTTTTTTATTTTTCTTTCAGATATAACAACTTAAGTCTTTAGCAATTTCAGCCATGGAAAGATCAACAATCAAACAATGTGTTAAACTTATCGAAGCCTATTACGAAAATGGACGTTTGAAGCAATCAAGAAGTGTTAGACGTTTAAACTTAATTTACATTTAAAATCGATCCAAGTTATTGGAACACCCTATAGTTTGTATATTATTCTAAATGTGGGGGGTAACTTTTAAGATTTAAATGTTTTTTTTAAAGTGTGATATTTATTAATACACAGAAATATATATTTTTTATTTATTATTAATGCAGAAATTAGAAAATTATTTAAATGTTTCCCTCATGGTAAGCTCTGTGTATTAAGATTAGGAAATTCAAGTGAACTAAATATAATGACAAAAAGAAATCTTTAAAAAATTGATATGATGCTGAAAATGTTTTTCATACAATAGAGAAGTAAGTGAATTTCTCTAACAATTTTCTCTGTTGCTCGAACTGGTTTTCAGCAAATTAATGTAAAAATCGTCAAGCATTCTTTCATTACGTGTCTCTAAAATATTAATGTCTTTCTGATTTTTACAAACAGTTTCCTTGTCGTTTTTACTCTCCTTAAAACATTCTCATTCGTCTCATGTTTTGGCTATGGTATTTTTAACACCTCTCGATCGCTTCAAATGTATTTCTATTTATTTTATAGCTTTTCACATTTTAATTAAATTGCCAATTCTTCACAGGCATATAAGAGTGTAGACAATACAAATCAGTTCATGGTGCTTTTTATTATTACTATTATTTGTTTCGGGTCTTTAAGGTCTTACTCGTCTTCGGAAAAGCATCTTTCGCTATTCCTATGTGACTCTGAGATTTTGTACGACACTACCCAAATATTTGACTTTACTCAGTTGACTTTTGTTTTTGACATTCCCGATGCGTAACACATATATTGGGCTGTCCCTTTTGTTCACCACTATGCATTCAACAAAAGCCCAGCTTCCAGAAATTATTTCTAGTAATTACAAACTTTATATGAATATTTATACAAACCTATGTAATAAAAGCGAATGTCAGTGTCACTGTGTCACACTTTTCAACTTTACTCCTAGAGGCCGTAACCCAAAATATCATACCATTTTGGAATCAGGCCGACTCTGTGAGCAAATTAAAAATATTCCGGGCAGGATCCGAACCTGTAATCATGAAATTACAGTGTTTCAAAATAAAATTGTCCCTGTTTTCAACTTTACTCCTAGAGACCGTATCCCAAAATATCATACTATTTTGGAATCAGCCAAATCCGTAAACAAATTAAAAACATTCCAGGCCGGATCCTAACCCGCAATCCAGAAATTTTGGATTCCCGCGATTTTTTACGACGAATTTTGTTATACAATAACAATTTTCATAACATGGAAATAAATTTGGGGATAATCGAGAATTGCGAAACCCTGTGAAAATCACCCAAGAAATTAAAATAATTGTTTGAAAGTAAGGACCTGCGTACATCAAATTGTCTTTAAATTAAGCGGTAGAAGAATTATAGTTGAAATTTGAAACGTTAAGCTAAATATTAAGGCAATACTTAAAAGCAACGATCAATTTTGAGCTCTTCTGTAGTTTATTGGTGCCGATGGCATCTACTCCTGCCTACCTATCGTGATGAAGACCCAATCAATGGCTCTCCACAGGATATAGTTTAAATGCCGCCCAATAAGGCGGCTTTTAAGCTAGTATTTAAATAGATACAAAAAATATATAACCAAAGAGAGGAAGAGCTAGGAAAAAAATCATATATATATCTATATATTGTAGGGAGACCACAGTTGTTTTCCCTTGGGTTGAGCTCATGAGAGTTTTGGCCCCTTCTAGAGAGTAGAACTCTTCTGTACTTTTTATCTTTACTTCCGTTCTGGGAGGAACGGCCTCTTTACCTTCCTGACCACCAGGGTGTCCACACACGTGGAAATTGGTCAACATATGCACGGCCTAGCGGAAAAAAAGTACATTTTATTCACTTATCTGCGGACGATCAAAGGCCATAAAGTTGGTGTTATTTCTTTGTTCTCATTTTGTAAATCTCCTCATTCCTTTCAAACAATAT